GTTTATTGGGTTGCAAATTATTTTATAAATTGCAATTAATTTATAAAAATAATTATTTTATTTATTAATTTAATCAATGTGCTCTTTTTTCTTTGTAAAATTTAGTTTAGTGCAAGGTTATGTTAAACTCATAAATCTTTTTGTGAAAGCAAAAGTTTGAGCGTTTATTGGATTGCAAATTATTTTATAAATTGCATAATGAATTGGTTCTTTGTTTTTGTAAAATTTATTTGAGAGAGGGGAGAACTTTTATTTCAATAAATAAATTAAATTCTTCTTTCTAAAGTATCTATATATATATATATATATATATCAAATCATTTTTTTGTTGTATTTCTTTCAGCAGTGTTTCTCAAATATTTGTTTCTTTATTTTAAAGTTATATTAAACATATAAATTATTTTTTTATAAATTCTATGAAGAATGTAGTACATAATTAATATTATTTAAATACTAAAGTACTAAAAATAGTATGGAAAAATAATTTTGAGAAACACTGAAAACGATACAACGAAAATGTGCAACAGAATGAAATGATTTGTTTGAATAAATAAATAAAATACAGGTTTTTTTTTGTGTGTTCGTATAATAACGTAATATTGTTTATATATTTTCAATAAAAAATAAATTTGAGAAACACTGAAAACGATACAACGAAAATGTGCAACAGAATGAAATGATTTGTTTGAGTAAATAAATAAAATACAGGTTTTTTTTTTTTGTGTTCGTATAATAACGTAATATTGTTTATATATTTTCAATAAAAAATAAATTTGAGAAACACTGAGGTGTATAAGAGACGAGTAGAATGTTCATGCAATTTACCTGAATTTCTCGTTCGACAATCTTGTTCTCGGTTGGTTTTAACTGTGCGTAACTGACATACGGTGGTAAGATCTTATAAGATAGTATGTTCCGATCGTTTAACTGAGATTTATGCAATTCCTCTAAGTGATTTTGTTTAGCTAATGTTACTTCCGGTGTATCATCTTGTTGAATTTGTTCGTCATGATTATTTTTAGGTGCTTCTGGTAAATTACTAGCTCTAACTCTAAAACCATTTTGATCATCTGCGGTATACAATACTGTTTGTAGTATTCCGTTTGCGTCTATGTAAGAATAACCTTCCAAAACAAAATTTTATTATAAAATATAATCTAATGTAATATAATAAATATAATAATAATTAAAAGTAACAAAAAAAAGAAAAAAGAAAATAGATGAAATATTAGGTTTATCTGAGAGTTACGTCCGTTCGTACAAATAATTTTTAATAATTTATACAAGTATTAAATAATATTTTAAAATATATATAAATAATATTAAATAATATTGTAATAATATATAAATAATATTAATTGTAATATATCAAATATATTATATTAAAAAACACAAATATGAAGTCTACCGGAGAGTTCTGTCCATTTAAACAACAATATTAAATAATATTTAAATATATATATATAAATAATATTAAAAAATAATTATAAAATAATATTAAATAATTTAAAATAATACTATTATATAAAATAATATATAAAATATATATAAAATTAAAAATATATATATTAAGTCTACCAAAAAGCTATGTCCATTTAAACAACAATATTAAAATATGTATATATATATAAATAATATTAAAATAATATATAAACAATATTAAATAATATATATAAAATATAATAATAAATATAATATATAAAANATAATTATTAAATTATTTTTATTCCAAAATATTATATCTTTTATAAATATAAATATAATTTTTAAAATATAAATAATATATATATAAATAATATTAAAATAATATATAAACAATATTAAATAATATATATAAAATATAATAATAAATATAATATATAAAATATATAATATTAAAAAACAATAAAATATTAAGTCTACCCCAAAATGTCTGTCCATTTAAACAAACACTGATTGAATTTTTGTAACTCTAACAAATTTCTTTTCTTATTTTTTTATTCTAAAAATGGACAGAACTTTTTGATAAATTTAATATTTCATAGTTTGTTTTTTCTATGTAACTAGAAAAATTGATTGCACATCCTCAAACAGTGTTGATTGATTGATATTTTATGCATGGGTGGTACATTGCAACATAATCGATGACGAATAATCGATTGACGAATTGAACGTAGGTAGCAAACTACTCGTCACAATTACAAATTAAGAATTACATTAAACATTTATGGGTATATATTGTTCTCCTACTATCACATCCGGTGTAAGAATGTTTTTTTTTTTTTTTTCATTTTTTTTATTTTAACATCATTACCACCCTACATTATTATTGGTTAAACGATGTCAAGGATGAATTTGTAATATTCAATTTATTTCTATTTATTTTTATTATGGTTTATTAAATTGACTTACCACCCTGTGTAATACCATTCAAGTTAGATTCCGTTTTAGCATGATGGGGTCCCGTGAACGAATATCGATAAGATCCTGATCCATCTTGTATGTGATATTGTCGTAATGGTGAATAATTTCCTATGGGATTGATCCAAACGTTTGCTATTGGATTACATAAAGATGATCCTAATAATAAACTGAACAAAATTATCTGAAAAAAAAAAAAACAAACAAACAAAAAAATACAACGACCCATAAATAGTAAAATCAATGAGAATTAGATTTAACGATTTTATATTATAATTATATTTTATATTATTAAATTATTTATGTTATTTTAATTTATATATATATATAATTATAATATACATACTAACTTATTTATATTATTATTAATATATAGTATATAATATATAATTTTATCAAATTTACTAATAAATATATAAAATAAATTGTATTTAATTAAATTATTCATTAAATATATAAAAGAAATTTTATTATTATTTAATATAATGTTAATAATATATTATATTGAACAAAAAAAAAATAATAGTAAATCTACCGAAAAGTTCTGTTTGTTCGAACAATAAAAATATGAAATAATATATAAAATAATATATAAATAATATTTAATAATAAATATAAATTATTATATTTTAATTTATATTAAAAATTGAAAAAAAAAATAATTATTTAATATCAAACACTCACGTTTATCATCATGTTAATTAATACAGTAGATACAATCGATGAAAAAAAAAAAACAACCCCCGAATTATAATTAATTAAAATATTAATATTAATATTATTATTATTATAATTTTTAATACTCGTTCGTTCCGGTGATTATGTCACATATCAAAGTTACGTTAATATTTTTTATTTGTACTTTTTTTCACAAAGTTATTTATTTATATATATATAGTTAAAGAATAATAATAATAATACTACACAACCACCCCGCGTGTGTGCTTAGGCTAACTTGTATGAGAAGTATGCGATTCTTGCTTGGTTGTATCCTCTTATATATATAGCCCCATGATATTCCCCCATGATATTCCCCCATGTGAATATCTTCTTCTTCTTCTTCTTCTTCTTCTTCTTCTTCTTCTTCTTCTTCTTCTTCGTCATTGGTTACACTTGCCCGTTGGTGTGCTTAGTCGTACGAGCTCACTCCCTACTATTACCCCCACCCCCATCCCTTCCACCACCACACCAAGTATGATGACGTATACCACCACCTGGGCCTTACGATGAGAAGTAAGCTTGGACTCCCCTCAGGGCCGTCCAAGGCCACAAATCAGCCATAGTTCGATTTTCCAAGCAGATAAATCAAATCTTTATAGGTCTACAATAAACCTTAGAAATTTAGACGTTGATTTTTCCAAAAAAATTTTTCTTTTCTTTTTTTTTTTTTTTTTAGAAATTAAACTCTCCCCTAACCTCCCCACTCCTCTCTTATTTTAATTATCAATCTTTCAAATAAAAATGGGGATGATTGCTATAAGGAAAAAAATGATTTTCTTAGTTGAACAAAGTTTTATTCTTCTAATGTTTGTCAAATATGAAACCATCAACCCCCCCCCCTCTCCCTCCCTCCCTTAATTTTAATTTTATTGTTTTTTTGTATTTTCAATTCTTAAAATTTCAATGACAATGATTTGTTTATTTATTAATATTAATGTAACAAGTAAATTGATATTTCTCAGCTTTTTCAGATATGAAACTTCCCCACTCCAGTTTTTTCATTTTTATTCTTTTTAAAAATCATCCCCTACCATGAAATATAATCCAATTTAAATTCACATATACATATGTTATATTTATTATAATTGTACACACACATATTACATATATTTCTTTTTCATTTTAATAAGCAAACAACTGTACAAATCTTCTCTTACCTTGAAATACTTGAAATATAATCCACATCAAATTCACATATACATATATATATACATATATACTACAAAATATAAATATTATATTACATTAATTATAATTGTATATAATACAAATATATGTCTATATATTTCTTGTTCATTTTAATAAACATACAAACAAACAAAAAACAAAGGAAAAGAAAAATCAGATTGTAATTAAACGATAATCATAATACATGTTACATACGTACTGTAAAAAAATATTTGAAATAATCAACCTGTTACCTGAAATTACCCCATACACCTATAACCAATAAACCGAATCATATATTATTTACCATATAGAAAGAGAATACCATATGACACAGGAATAGTATGTGCATTTAAATGCCAATGTCAAAACCAACGCGATTTCTCGCCCACGTTCTATATATACATATGTATGTATGTATGTATGTGTGTGTGTGCTCGTTAAATACTAAAAAAAGAAAAAGGAATTTTACTCGGCATAGTTACATGGTTGTTGTTGATGTTGTTATGTAGTAGTGTATATAAGTATAGTTACTTATTAAAACTCATGTAGAGACGCAGAGCCTGAGTAATTCAAATGGAATTGATGAACTCGTTACATCCCCCACTCCCTCAACCCTTCCCTCCTTGTTCTTGCTATCTATCTCTCTTTCTCTCTTGTTTTACAACGTAGGATTAAGTGCCATAGCAGTACTATACTAACATGAGTACGTGAACACCGACATCCTTTTAAATTTACGCAACGTGATATGGAAATATTTTCTATGGTGTTGTATATATTCTTTCTTTCAGTCCTTTTATGAAATAGGATAACTCTATATATATATGTATATGTAGTTACATATATGCAACGTATAAGGAAAAGGTCTGATTTAATACCGATCCACCCACTTCCTCCCACTTCCCAACCCTTTCATTCTAACCTTTCAACGTTTTCATGTCGCTAGGGTTTCTTTTAGAAACGTTTGACCTTTTTTTTATTGCTAATTTATGAATTTATTATTTAGAGGTTATATAAGTGTTTAGATATTGTAAGTTTTCAATAGATGGTGCTGTATTACAATTGGAATATTTAGATATATTCAGGTCATACTTTTTTCAGATTTACATATAACATAACCTAGTTTGTTCTATTTTTTCGAGTATTATTACTTCATGGATCCCATTATTAATTGTGATATTATTTTGTGTGTTGTTAACTTAGTATTTAGGATAGTTTTTTACGCGTTTATTTTGTATTTTTTATCGATAATTTAAAAAATTTATTATTTAGAGGTTTACTAAGTCTTTAAATACTCTAAAATTTCAATAGATGGTGCTGTATTGCAATTCAAATATTTAGATATATTCACGTCATACTTTTTCTTCAGATTTACATATGACATAACCTAACTTTTTCTATTTTTTCGAGTATTATTACTTTATGGATCCCATTAATTATTATTAGTATTAATATTGTAATAATTGTATTATTTTATGTTTTGTTAACTTAGTATTTAGGATAGTTTTGTTCGCGTTTATTTTGTATTTTTTATCGATAATTTTAGAATTTATTATTTAGAGGTAATTTAGATCTTTAGGTACTGCAATTATTCGATAGATGGCCACTGTATTACAATTCGAATATTTAGATATATTCAGATCATACTTTTTTCAGATTTACATATGACATAATCTAACTTTTTCTATTTTTTCGAGTATTATTACTTTATGGATCCCATTATTAATTGTTGTATTATTTAGTATGCTAGTTACTTAGTATCTAGGATAGTTTTTACCGCGTTTATTTTGTATTTTTTATCGATAATTTAAAGGATTTATTATTAAGAGGTTTACTAGATCTTTCAATACTTTAAAATTTCAATAGATGGTGCTGTATTACAATTCAATCAGATTTACATATGACATAACTAACACCTTACTTTTTATATTTCTTCATGTATTATAATTATGTTATACGTGAATTTGAAGGTGGATTATATTTCGTGGTAAGAAAAGAATTGTACAGAGGAACTTGTAGGAAGTATTTAGGACCTTCGAAAGGTACAACGTCTTCTTTATCATCGATATTCCTTTTCCGAATACTCTCTCTCTCTATCTCTCTCTCTCTCTCTCTTTTTCTACAAACCATACTCGTAAAATTTTTCTTCTTTTTTGTTGCTTAGTATCGGTGTATATGATCCTGTGTATATACCAAATGGTATGGTATGGTGGATCCTTTAATGTCTTTTTCTCTTCACGATATATAGACACGTAACATGTACGTTTTAACACATATATATATATATATTGGTAGTGGACCATTATCCATGGAATGAAACCAAACGAATCCAGCACCAGTACCACCACCGTACCGGCAAACTCGAAAAACTTCTCTTACCCCGTAAGAAAAATTGGCGGCTAGCAAAATTACGGTGCCTGCCTCGTTAAAGTGTTACATAAATAATACACCGTGACGCTATAATTTATGAATAATACTTCCCGCACGAAATCCTTATTCTCGAGAGCCCTTATTCTTATTCTTCTTATTCTTCTTATTCTTCTTCTTCTTCTTCTTCTTCAGCGGAACCCTTCTCTGTTTAAACGAAAGAATGAAACGGGTTGTAAATCTGTTTCACGTGCACCAATCGAATGGAATTCGATCGATATTTCTACTTTTTTAATATGCTCACATTTGTTACAAAATCAACAACATATATATGTGTGTATGAGTGTGTGTAAGTGTGTATTTATAATATTATTAATTAATAATTTGGAATATATGGACTAATTATTTACGATATTTTATTCTATTTTATTTCATCAAATTATATCTTTTTAAATTAATATTATTTTAAACTAACATTTATTACAAAATTAAAAATATATATATATAAAATAAAAAATATAAAATATAAAAATATATAAAATAAAATATATAAAATATAAATAAATATAAATTACTTACAATATTTTATTTTATTTGTTTACCTTATCAAATAATAATTTTTTAAATAAATATTATTACAAAAAAAAAGGAATAAACAACACAAAATAAAATTAATATTAAAAATTTTAAATCATTACATATGTTATCTCACGTTTACGAAATATTTTACCCCCCCCCCCACCACCACCATCTTTGAATTCTTTTTAATTGCCTAATTTTTTTTTTTTCCAATCAAATCGAAACATATTATTATTATACATATCTTTCGATCGAGATATATCGAATAATAATTCTAACCGCACGATAAATCGTGAGATCCCAAAGAACAAAAATGATAATCAACAAAAAAAAAACCCCTTCCCGTTCGTTTGATCGAAAGAATTTATCGGGAATATTCGGGGTGCTCGAAGGCAAAAGAAAATAATAAAAAAAAAAAAAAAACAACCCTTTTCTCCTTTTACGGAAACGTGAAATTCTTCTTGAGTTATCCATTTTGTACGAAGCAGGCAGGCAGGCAGGCAGGCAGGCAGCATGTTTGAAGAAGGATCATCGAACCTTTCTCGATTCCCTTCGAAACTAACCAAGAAACAAAAAATCGAAAAAAAATCAAACGATCATAACCTAAAAAAGGCACGCGATTGATTTCGTGGAAGTCAATTTAAACGATAGGAACAATTTGAAATTATGATTATGAGTGTTGTATGTCATCAACTTACCCCTAATTGATTAAAACTAATTGAACTTGCGTGTATTTTACTCTCTTTATTTCTCTCATACAAAAAACTCATTCGTTGTTGTTGTTGTTGTACATCCTAACCTAAAATAAAAAAAAAAAAGGTTCCTTATATTCTCCCTTTCCCTGTACACCCTTATAAATACTGTACTCGTATTGGTATATTTATTATTAACGTATGTACGAT